CATAATTACGTTATATTTCTAAGTTTTGTATGTTTAATGAGTATTGAAATCCTTTATCAATAACTTTCGAATAGTCCAAATTTACATGTTATACGTGATCGTACTGGTCCTGCGCGGCATCACGCGTCGCACAGCTACCCTAATTAAATACTATAGGTTTATTTTATTTTTTCTTATTAACAAGTTTTGATAGTTTTAGGATAATTATTAAGAACAGCTAGTTTTAAGTATTTATTTAATACCAATTTCTTCATTCATAGATAATATAATTTTCTATTTAAATAAATATCACCTAAATTATATTAAGATTCATAGAATAATATAATCTAAATTATATTAAACTATAATATAAGCTTTGACCCCAGAAGGATATTCTTCAAATAATATCTTGACCAATATTTTGCAGTTGCATTTTCCAACTCAGAATGTGCCTGGAAACATTCTCAAGCTGTATTATAATCTTTTTTATTATGTGTTATAATACCTTCTTCAAGAGATATTCTTTTGAGAGATTAAAAATTCATTTTATTTTTTCTACATAATAATTTAATTGCATTAGAATAATTCTTATTAGCTGCACGTTTTAAATAATCTAACCCTATGTTTGGATTTTTTTGTATTCCAAATTTTCCATTTAAATGTATATCGCCATATATAAATTGAGCTATAACGTTATCATTTTCAGCGGATAATCTTAAATTTTCTAACAATTCATCTATGTTTTGCATTTCCTTATTACTCATCAGAGCCAACGCATAACGTAATTGTGCATCAGGAATAGGTTCGTTAGCAGCTTCTTTAAAAAGTTTAACAGCTTCTTGTCTATCTTTTTGTATATAATAACCTTCCCATAAATAACATCCTTGCCAATATTTTGCTTCTGGATCACCAACTTGAGCATTTGTTTTAAAACATTCCCAAGCATTTTTATAACTACCTTCTTTATGATGCTGGACCCCTTTTTCAACGGTTTCAAAAGAAGAGATGGTTGAATCTTTATTAGAAAGTTCTGAAGGATCTTTCATTTTTAATGGTTGCGAATAAGAAGGATAAGTTGATACTAATTCATCAAGTGACTTAAGCAAATCAATCAAGCTTATGCGCGAAGATGATTCCATTTTCCAAGCTATTGAAATCATAATTAAAGATATGTAAATAATGGTTAGATTATAAAAATTTTCCATTAATTTTATAATTGAAATTATTTAGTTTTGCTAAAAAAAAACCAATACAAGATAGATTTTACGTTATATTTATTAAATATACTCACTGCCTTCAATAAGATCTATAAGACTTTTTAGAATCTTTTTATTATCAGAATTGTAAACTTTTTTAATTGGTAGTTTTTCTCGTTTATCACCCAAGATATATTTTGATATTTCCTTATAATTCTTATCTTTATATGGA